TGGAGGTGGAAAAACAAGCTCTGTTAAATTCCAATCGAAATTCCAATATTTGTACTTTCACGATAATTTTTTGTTAACATGTTGTCTTCCACAGGAGGTTGCCGCGGGCGCGTTAGCGGGAGGAGGGGGGGGGGGGGGGAGACAAACGTGAAAAACTACTGCCTAATAACTGTGAAAAATACAAGACAAAACATCTCTCACCCATTAATCCTGAGAAAGCTAAATATGTAGTTGTAAACTTAAAAACTACCGTAAAATAGAAAATGAACGTTCGAGATTTGTTCACATCGCCATGATTAAAACTTTACTCTTGTTAGATTAATGGGCTACACCCAATTAAATCCTAATAAATTCCATTAGCCCACATTAAGTGCTATGGGTAATAATACCACTGTAGAAATCTAAGTGAAGAGGTCTCAACTTAAATATGGAGCTAGTTGAGAGTCTCTGTTGACCGGTTGAGATGGTGCGTGGACAGCCAGCCGGGGCGGGACGGGGCGAGGCGAGGCAGGCTACTTCTCTCTCTCGTTTTGTAACGGACGGTAATAACGTCGTGAATTGATTCCGTCTTGTAACGGGCGGTAATAAAACGCCGTGAATTGATTCCGTCGGTTATAGAATTAAACGTCGTAGAATTGATTCTGTATTAACAAGTGTGTCGGTTACGGAATTAAACGTCGTGAATTGATTCCGTCAGTTACGGGATTAAACGTCGTGAACTGATTCCGTATCAACGAGCGCGTCGGTTACGGGATTAAATGCCGTGAATTGATTCCGTCGGTTACGGAATTAAACATTGTGAATTAATTCAATATTAACGAGCACATCGGTTACGAATTTAAACATCGTGATTGATGATCCCAAACGTTACTCTCGCGCTCACATATATATACTCCGCAGCGACTAGAAGGAAGAAGATAAGTTCTTCCCGACGTCTCTTGCACTTCACCGGTTCCTCCTCCTCTGTTCCTCCTTCTCTGTTCCTGCGCTGTAGAATCCTTCACCGGTTATGTTCACCTGCACGCAAGGAACTCCGTCCGTTTGAGAACCTGCACGGGTAGGCGGGCAATCATGTTTTTGGGTAACGCTTCAAGCGCGACTGCTCTGGTTCTTCGACGACAACATTGCATCTTCCTCTACTTGCTTTACCATGGTTTCTACTAGAGAGAACGGAGGAAACAACATCAACGGAGCCAATACGAATGCTTCAACATCTTCTGCACCGTTCTCTGGGTATAAAATTGAACTTTATTTGATTTTCTTCTTGTTATTTACATGTTAACAATGTTATCCATAGGATTTCAATCCTATGTGAATATAAACGATGTCTATGCTTATTTTACCTTAAGTATGCTCATGTTTACGTTTAGTCTCATCGCTAGATCGCTTCTAATTATGTATGTTATGATTATTCTCTTAATATTTTAGATTAAAATATGCTGAGTTATGATTAAATTTTCAACAACTCTTAAATTTAACCATCAATAAAAGTTTTAATAGAAGTTAAAGATTTACTCGTAGTAACGTGACAAATTTCAAATGTCCATGTTAAAATTCTACGGTAGTTTTTATGTTTCCGGCATATATTTTTCTTTTAACGGGAGCCATCCTCCTATCCTACCTAGCATGTTTTCCCTTTCCTAGCCTCTCATAGTCATAGGTGGGCACTGGTAGCTAGGCAGCGACGCCGACCTGTCGCCGCCGGGGACCATAGTCATCACTGTAGTGACATTGTTGGACCTCTTCAAGCTTTGCCTTCTCCCCTCCTCCAGTCCTCTTCTCAGATATTTTCAGATTTTTTTTTTGTTGACCTACTAGTGTGTAAATGTTTTTGGGATAGTACTCCATTTTCGAAGAGGAGAACTGAACATGTCACTAGACTCACTACTCCGTAGCAATCTACGGAGAAGTAACAATGAGGGCACGTTTGGTACAGCTCCAACTCCTAAATTTAACTCCAGGAGTTGGGTCTGGAGTGGAGTTGTGGAGCTGCCTAAACCCAGCTTCACAACTCCAGTTCATTTTATGAGAGAGCTCCACCCAACTCCACTCCCAGTTTTGGTGGAGCTGAAACTGTTTGGCTGAGCTCCAGCTCTAGGAGGGGTGAAGCTGGAGCTGGAGCTGTGCCAAACAGGCCCTGATTGATGATTAGTCAAACAAGGCGGCAGATACTTTGAGATGTTTTGTGCGACACACAGCAACAGCAGCTGGAAATATCTCTTGAACTTATCGATAAATGTATGGTAGTAATAAGTTGCTAACTATCTACCCTTTCCTGTCTAAAATATGACAAACCAGTACTGTATTAAACATAATTTAGTATTACAAATCAAGATTTAAGTATTAGTGTTGTTTAATCAAGTACAATATTTTATAACGAAATGAGTAATTCGACAAAAAATTACTTTATCCGTTCCGTTCTTTAATATAAGGGACTTCCGTCATATAGGTGATAGCAGAATTAACAACATGTGTACTATCCACAATTCTTTCCTAAATACACGTTGCTTTAAGAGATGGAGAAGCATTAATTTCCCCCTCACTAAATAACCGATGTCATTTTTACTAGTACTATTAGATAATTTATTGTATTTCACAGTACGGTACAAATTGAGGGCAATAGAAACAAAAAAGACAACTACGATTCTTTCTCTGCACAAACCAAAAATGAACTCCTGCTACGACCTCACAATCGATCGGCTCATCAATAGATCGAGATAGCTAGGTTGGCCATGAACCCGTTCTGTCCCCAGACGATTTCCCAGTCGACACAGATCGAATCATCTTCAAACAAGATTTAGATTTGAACAAATCATTATCCCCAATGCAAACCCCATTCATTCATTCATGCATTGCCGACGACCAATCAAAAATGCCAAGTTGAGCCTCAACTTTGGCCCGGTCTAACTACTTGTTGGCCTCATATCACGCATGCATATGAGACTGGCTACCACATCGATCGGTAACCACCAAACCAGATATTTTGTTGCTACACATCTGCACTGCATGCTCTGCTCTGCACCCTACGTACACATCCCCTTCCTGATCGATCACTCATTAGCACAACCAGCTGCTTCATCAACTTGCAGGTAATCAATAGTGACATGCAACTGCAAAATGGTCCTGCAGAGTACGCTTGTATCTGCACCATGACAATTATATTGTAACACACACTTGACACTTTCATTGATCCATTCGTTTTAAGTTGTTTGTCGTTTCGGCTTTGTTCTAAATCAAATATACTACTTCCTCCGTTTCACAATGTAAGTCATTCTAACATTTTTCACATTCATATTGATGTTAATGAATCTAAACTTATATATATGTCTAGATGGAAAATACTAGAATGACTTACATTGTGAAATAGAGAGAGTACATATGTCTATTCGTGACAATCAACTTCTAAAAGAAATTGTAGTTTAACAATAGGTAAATTATATATTATGAAAGTATTTCTCAAGATAAATATAAAAATATAAATCTTACAATGTTAGAAATTGATATCGAAGATACAAATGTTTGTCTTAGGACGAAGTTAGAACAAGTAATTTAAAACAGTTAGGGTATTAAGTATGTTGACATATACTCCCTCAATTTCAAAATGTTTGACACCGTTGACTTTTTAGCACATGTTTGACCGTTCGTCTTATTCAAAAAATTTTATGAAATATGTAAAACTATATGTGTACGTGAAAGTATATTTAATAATGAATCAAATGATATGAAAAGAATAAATAATTACTTAAAATTTTTGAATAAGACGAATGGTCAAACACGTACTTAAAAAGTCAACTGTGTCAAACATTTTGAAACGGAGGGAGTATATGTTTTGTACTTTTGTAAGTAAGAGTACTTTTGATTTGTTAATGCAACTAGCATTAGAGGGGTGATGCATCCAGATCAACAAAGTGACACCAAACTATTGTTGTATAGGAGTAAGAGTTTGACTAGGTACACTTGAATTTGACAGAACCCTGGCCGGCAAAAACTATGGAAGCATATGCGAATTGCGCAATTGGATAACTCCAGATAAGAAAGCGACCATAATAAGTTTAACAACGCCACTGTTGAATTAGTTTTTGTCAAAAAGCACATCACTGCTCACTTGTCAAGTCGACAAGTCATCACTTCATTTCTAATTTTTCCTTTTTCTTTTTGTTTCTTTTCTAGTATTTTGAAATGAATTGTGGATGGTGACGTGGAACAGAAAAGTCACGCGCTGAAACCGACGTGTACCAACGGGAGGAGCTCGACGTGTAGGCCATCTGGAATGATGGAAGAAGAAGAAGTGACTTCTGGTTGGGTAGGCAAAGGAGTTGCTGCTAAGTAATGGAAGGGGTGTTTTTGTAATTTTACAAGGCGGTTAGGACAAGCAAGATTTGGACACCTGTCGTGTCCTATGCTCATATGGTATTAAAATATGTTAGTTGAAAATCATAATCTAATGAAGAAAGGATTAGTTTATGGAGTACTAGGGCTCTTGGTTGCCATGTGGAGTATTTCAGTGAGTAGCAAGTGTCCAGTTTCCAGTGAGATGGCACCCATGGATTTCTGTCTCATAAAAATGCAATTAAAATTTTTGTACTGCCTCATTCAATACTTTTATCCTTTTTAGCTAATCTAAACACAAACTAAAGCGTGACAAAAGTAGAATTCTCTCTTATTGAAAAATGTGAGTAAACTTTGTGATTGGAAAGAAGTCGTACAAAATTGGACTGAATTCATATGCCATCTGTATCAATACATAAACCGGTTATCAAGACACATTTGTAACGATAAAAACAATGTACAGTACGTACTAGAAACATTTCTTGGATCCCATTTCAATAATCATTCTGACAAGGAAAACAACCAAATGGGCACAAACAGTTTCGCTTTCTTGATAGCCATGTCGCAGCCACAGCTTTGTTTGCTAGAATGAGACACCCCTGATTCCTCAGCCACATACTTAGATTAAGAAACTAATCACCTTCCTCAATCTTGGTTCCTAATCCGCTATAAAAAGCAGAGGAAAGCAGAGGAGACAGGCAGAGCAGAGGAGAGAACCCCACCTTGGCAAAAAGAAAAGAAAAATAATATCATCGCACTTTTTGCTGCCCTTTTCATCCCCTCGGATATTCACGAAGCAAATCTCTCTGCAATTCTTTTCTTTTTTTTTTTTGATCTTGCGGATCTTCTCCATTGAGGAAAGGCGAGAGCTTTGGGATCGATTCCGGGCCATGGCGAAGGAGGTGGATCCGTGCGACCACGGCGAGGTCGTCGACGCCGGGTGCGTCCGCGCCGTGCTGGCCGAGCTCGTCCTCACCTTCGTCTTCGTCTTCACCGGCGTCGCCGCCACCATGGCCGCAGGTAAGCCCCGCCGCTCGCCGCCGCTCCCTTCTCCGGTCGATTAAATATTTTCGTTTTTTTTTTGGTTAAAAAATGGAGTTTAATTTTGGGTTGGGGTTAGGGGTGCCGGAGGTGGCGGGGGCGGCGATGCCGATGGCGGCGCTGGCGGGGGTGGCGATCGCGACGGCGCTGGCGGCGGGGGTGCTGGTGACGGCGGGGTTCCACGTGTCCGGCGGGCACCTGAACCCGGCGGTGACGGTGGCGCTGCTGGCGCGGGGGCACATCACGGCGTTCAGGTCGGCGCTCTACGTCGCCGCCCAGCTGCTGGCTTCCTCCCTCGCCTGCATCCTCCTCCGCTACCTCACCGGCGGCATGGTAAGCACCCAACCCGTCACCGCCGTTAATTCTTTCTTTCTTTCTTTGCCTGTCAAAATTAGGATCCGTGAAAAGAGGAGGAAATTTTTTTTATTTGGGGGTGGAATCATGTCGTTCTCTCGATTTGTCCGTGGCCATCAACTTCTAAATTTGTTTTTGTTAGCTTTTTTTGGGACCAGATGAGATGCTGGGTTAATTTACTAATAATTCACCTGATAAACTTCTGTGGGTTTAAGGTTTTATAGTAGTAATTGTTGAGGAACTTCAAAGATTGTCAGGTTTTTAATCCTGTGATTCAGTTGGTTCAGTTTACCAAAAAAAAAAAGACTTTGCTGAAAACCATTAGTTACAAGCCTTTTTAAATCAGTTTTGTGATTCAGAACTGTGAGAATTCTAGTTCAATCTATAGTTTTGTTTTCTTATTTGGATAACAACTGCCGATTGCTTCAACCAAAGTCAACCAAAGTCGTATAAGATATGAATCATTATGCTGTTAGTGACTCTGATGAACTTCCAGGTTTGTATTCTGCTTTAGTGCCTGAAGTCTCAAAAACCCTCTAGAGTCTTGGTTTGTAAAGCATATGTATCACAAAGTTAGTACAAGTTAGCCAAGTTAAACACGCTGTTAGCAACACTGACCCTTGGGAATTGGAATAGCTGGTTTAAAAATACAAGTTGAAGACTAACATAGGCGAGACCAAGTCACTTGATCGTACTTTCCGGTTAGTCCACATAGATACATAAGCAAATTCATCACTCCTAAGTATAACAAGTTCACACCTGTGCTAAATAAGTATAAATTAAAGGCCACATCACCATCTGGTTTTCTGTTCTTTTCAAGCATCTTGTATTCATGTGTAAGCTGAACACGATAGGTATCTTCCTCACAATCTAACCAAACTGTCGTAATGTGCAATGCAGGCGACCCCGGTGCACACTCTGGGCTCAGGGATAGGGCCCATGCAGGGCCTGGTCATGGAGATCATCCTAACCTTCTCCCTCCTCTTCGTCGTCTACGCGACCATCCTTGACCCGCGGAGCTCGGTCCCGGGCTTCGGCCCGCTGCTCACGGGCCTCATCGTCGGTGCCAACACCATCGCTGGTGGCAACTTCTCCGGCGCGTCAATGAACCCGGCCCGGTCATTTGGGCCGGCGCTGGCCACTGGAGTGTGGACCCACCACTGGATCTACTGGCTCGGGCCGCTGATTGGCGGGCCTCTCGCTGGGCTGGTCTATGAGTCATTGTTCTTGGTCAAGAGGACCCATGAGCCTCTGCTAGATAATTCCTTTTAGTAGTCTGGTCTCTTTAGATGGTTTCATTTGCAGAATGCATATATTGCCAGGTAGTAATAAGATGCTTGTGCAGCTTGTAGGCCTGTAAGGGCTGTATAATTATTATTTTCTTTTTGCCCTCGAGGATTTTATCAACGTTGATAATCAGCCATGTAAAAAGATTGTTTGGGATATGATTTTTTTGTTAGTATAAAATGTAGTCCGGTAGTTGGTCTGTTGTAAATCGGCGAATGCCATGTGGTTTTGAAATTAGAATCTATGTAAACATTTTCAAATGAATTCAGTAAAATTCATTTCAAATGGGTATCAACTTGACCTCAAGCTCTTCATATATCATCTAAACAAAATGCTAACTGTTATGGCTATGTACACCTAGCAGCATAGAAACACAAGGAGATCCAAGAACTGAAAAAATCAATGGCTCATTGCAGCTATTATCTGTGCTGCCAGTGCAATATGCATACCTGCTTGCTTGGCCCATCAATTTGGCCCAAAACTGTTATGATCATAATGAACTCACCACATTCATGGAGTTGACTGTCTATGCGCCAGTTTCAACTGCTATCTTACTTCAATTTTAATTTTGGTATCGGGTATCGCCAAAAATTCGTAAGGTATAAAATGCTATTTTTCCAAACAAGTTTGTAATGGAGCTGAAGAAGTGGAACGACTACGTGCCGAACGTAGAACAATGTCGGCTGACTTATGGAAGAACCGTGTCAAAACAGCAGATCGAGCGCAAATTCAAGGCTGGATAACAAAACTGAACTAGATGATCACAGCGCTGCTCACCCAGAATATTCAGACATTTCTATTCATACGCTCTACTCTTTCTTTCTTCTTCTTTCTTTACTTTTTACCTCTGTATTATTTTATCTCCTCCTTCCCTTTTTTAAATGGCCACTTGGCCTTGTAAACCACCGATCACCATTAATACAATGGTTATAAGGTAGAGCCTCTCTACCTTTTACCTAAAAAAAAATATGGTGTGCAGCAAATCCTCGCTAGCTCAACGCTCCCACCATCCTCACCTTCATTGGCAAGCTCAGGGCTATCTCTGTCAACGGTGCCTCAAGCTCCACCCCCCACATGCCACTGGCTTGTGGTCCCACTGCCGCCGCCGAGCTCAGGACCCCAAATGGCGTTGGCCACATGTTCTCGCGGGTGTCGCCGCCACCGGCGGGAAGCTCGAAGTCTTCTCTGACGACTAGCGGTTGCTTCGACGACGGCGTCATTTGCTCCCCTAGCGACAACGTCTTCCTTCCACCTAAGTTCATCCGTGACACGTGATGGAGAGTTCTTCCAACGTAGGTATAAAATGGATAAAGAGATCACCACATACGCGTCTTGGAAAGCGTAAGAAGTATCGACGCACGTCACAGTGTCCGCCTAATAGACGGGGCATGTTGGCATCCCTAAGAGCAAGTTTAATAGTATAGGCAACTACTAGCTACAAGTTATCTATAGCCAATTTATTAGGGTTATGGATACCACATACCTAATAGTAGTTGACTAAATCTTGGCAGGACCCACCACTTACCATGTCCTATACGGAAACAACCTGCGGATATAGGAGGAGTTCCGGATAAGAGAAGACAACCAGAGTTCTATATGGAAATGACAAGTACTACTCGGATTGTATCCATATTGGTTTCCCTAGTTCTACTTAGACAAGGGGACACCTATGGGTATAAATACAAGACCCCCTATGAGGAGAGGGGACAATCAACACCCACCACTATCAACTAACAATAGATCAATATACAAGCCAACATACGCCAAGATAAGACGCCGAATATCGACTTCAGAGATAGGCACGGCTAGTCCCCTACGGTGTCTCCGGATACTGATAGGAGAGACATTGCGCTGTCTCTGATCTCGCCGGGCACGGATTCGAGGAGGAAGACTACCCTGTTGTCGACTACGAGTCAGACCTACAGACCGCCAAGTCGACAACAGTTAGATAGGCTACCCCAAATATTGTATTGGTGTGATTATGGTGAATAAAAGCAATACCGGCTTCGCCCAACAGGATGTAGGGTTATTACCTGACAATTCAGGGGCCCGAACCTGTATAAAAATCCCTATCTCTGTCTCTTTTACCTCAGTCTCGCGTATATCCTAATACCGACGATCCCCATACCATGCAAATACCGGAATCGTGACATCAAACGTCGACACAATTTAATAGCCAATTCATACAACAGTTGCTTATAATACTATTAATATTTGGTCCCATGTTTCATCCACACATTACGTCTTAGAGTCCGTGCTGCAACTGGTTACAGATCTATATACCGCTGCTCTTCTATCTGCTCTTTTATCTCTTTAAAATATGTTTATAGTTGGTTTATAGTCAGCTATTGTACCTGCTCAAAGCCGTTCGACACGAGTTGCAGGATCGGACATTCAGAACAAAGCATTTTCATGAAGAAGTGGGTTTGTGTTGACAAATTTATTTATCATATTTTTATCTTGATCTGACGACAAATAAATTCCATTATTAAAAAAGAAGAGAGAATCCCTTATATGCCACTGAAAATTAGTCTGATCCCTTATATGCCATTGAAAATTGGCTCTTCCCTTATATGCCATTGATCCAAATTTGCACACCCTCTCATGCCACTCCCATTAGTTGACCGTGTGTTGACCTTTAATTCTCAAGGAAAAAAGATGTATTTACCCTTATAAGTATAGGGCATGCCCAACAACTCAGGGAGAGCAAATATGTCTTTTTTACTTGAGAGTTAACGGTCAACACACGGTCAACTGACGATAGTGGCATGAAAGGGTGTACAAATTTGGACCAATGGCATATAAGGGAAGAGCCAATTTTCAGTGTCATATAAAGGATCAGACCAATTTTCAGTGTCATATAAGGGATTATCTCAACAAAGAAATACGTAGTACATTACTATTCCGTTTCATTTTATTTCTGCAGACTCTAGTCAACAAACTTATGGTCGTAATTTGCTTTTAGAGCGATTTTACCGGTAGGTAGTATTACATTTTGTAACGTAAAATTTGGTACTAGTACGATACATCGAGGTATCACCTCAATTACAGTAAAATTTCTCACATTTTTAAGATCACAATCTTCAATTTCAATTTCAAGTCAGCTCGGAGCAATCCGATCAATGGTTGACGACGTCGCAGCGCCTCCTGATCTCCCCTTCGTCTCCGGTGAGCACCCCGCTCATGGCGAGCTTCACGAACGCCGACGAGAAGGCCCGGAAGAAGCGGCGCCCGTCCGCCGCGAACCGCCGCACGTGCCCCGCCGTGCGCGCGTCGGCGGCCTCCTCGGCGTCGACGGCGAAGATGCCGCGCCCGGACGCCGCATTCCAGTAGTAGAGGTTGTCGAACCAGCTCGGCGTCGCGTCGCTGAGGACGGGCACGGCCGCCGCCACCGCCCGCGGCGCGGCGGCGGGGCACGCCAGCCGGAGCGCCGCCTCGAACGCGGCGTCGGAGCGCCCGCGCCCGCGCCGCGCCGTGTCGACGGTTGCGCAGTGGCCGCCGCCGAGCGTGTGGCCGCCGAGGATGGCGACGGTCTCCTCGACGGTCATGCCCTTGCTCTGGAACATGGCGAGCGCGCCGTCGATGCCGAGGAAGCTGTCCGGGAGCATGGCGTCGGCGCGCTCCGCGCTCGCCGCCGTGGCGTCCCTCCGGCCGAGGGGCACGCCGCGGATGCGCGGCCCGCCGGCGTGCGCCACGGCCGACCTCGCCGCGAGGACGACGATGTCGGCGCACGACACCTGGCCGGGGCACGCGCGCTCGACGGCCGCCTTGACGAGGCCGATGGTGCTGACGTCACGGATGCCGAAGTTCTTGTCGGAGCCAAGCTCCGACGTGATGTTCCGCCGCTCGTCGGAGTTGAGCAGAATGGACCCGTCACATCCCTGAAAAAAAAACTCACTAGTCCAACCTTAAATCTCTGAAAGCTCATGAAAATTTCGGATCTAAATTTTCATAAGTTTCAGGTTTACCGACAGGTTCTGGTAGTATGTTCTACTGGTAAAAAAATTCAAATTTTACTGAATTTAGCGAAGAAATTCAACAAAAGTTTTCGTTCAAAATCAATTTATTTTCCTGAAATTTCCTCAAAATGTTTATGCATTTTGAGATAGTAAACCATGCCTCGAACATATGATCGACTTTATAATTATGATTTTACGTAGGTAGATTTTGATGATCACTAATAGAATTCAATAATTTTTATGATCTTTTTATGCTGTGTGAGTTTTTATTAGTTCATATGTGCTTTTGTTTATTCAGGTGTGAGTTTTTGTTGAGTTAGTGTAATTATTGGCTGTAGCCTCTTTGAGTAAAGGCCAGGATTATATTCCATTATCTTAAAAAAAAATCAACAGTGTGTATTGGAGACAAATATATTGTCAGTACGTACCTGAACTTGGCAGTCGTGGAAGAAGAGGCGGAGGAGCGCCGCCGGCGAGGTCTGGTCGACAGCAAACACCGGCGCGAGGGCCATGTCGACGACGAGCTCCAGCTGGGGGCACGACCGCCGGTAGTAGTCGCCGGAGAGGCCGCCGGCGCCGGCGCCGGCCGCCATGCCTGCGCCACCTGGTCCTGGTGCTATCAGTACAAGTAGCGTTGCAAGCGCAAGAACCGAGCCAGTTGCAACGCTAACCATTGCACTAATACTAGTACCCAATGTCTTAGCTTCTTAAGCCTTCACTAATTAATTAACTTCGATATCAAGTAGAGGAGTTGTGTAGTTTCGTTCGTGTGATCTACTTTTCTTATTTATATATTTGTCTCTGGAGTGATAGGAGTAATTTATAGGTCAAATAGGATGGTGATGGGCATGGAAAAATAATTCAGGTCATGTCTTGCATATGATTTAATTGAGTCAGATCAGTGGATGAATTTTGATCGAAGTGATGCTAGGGGACTTGTGTCGCAATGGGAGATTTTTCTATTATCAAGAGGTTGCTGCCTGTTTTGCACAAGAAATGTGACTGTGTTTTGCGGATAGTGCTAAATCAAGATCGTTAAACATTTTGGTTTAATTTGTTAGCTAGTATTAATTGAAACGCCGAGCAAGAAGCTACCCACTTTAATTGCTCCAGAAATGGGGGATTTAGACCCAGAAAATTCAAAACCCGGTGGTGCGAGGAATTGGATTTTTACAACTCCACTGCCCTATACTCGTTTACTTCGTCACTACTCAGTTATCAACAACAAAAGCTATTAAAAAAATCCTGAGAAGAATTAACGTACAACATTATATAGTGTAACGTCCCGCCTCCCCTAGGCCGGACCAACATATATCTTTTCTGCACACTTTGTCCTCACTCATGTGCACCCGGGTTCCCGGTCGGTCACCCATCCCAAATTGCTCCAGGCCAAGCACGCTTAACCCTGGAGTTCTTTGGAGATTGGCTTCCGGAAAAGAAGTTGCAACTTATTGATATGAGTATTCTATTAATCCTATTAAGCCCTAGGCCGGGATGTTACACCCTCACCCCCTTAAGAGAGATCGACGCCCGTCGATCTACCCTAGGCTAGGAACGTCCTCTCTTGGCCACGTCCATGTGTCCAGTGCCAGCGCATGTGCCATGCTGTGTAACCACTCCCGGTCTACACCAGCCATGCGCACCATGCCTGCGCAACTGCGACACACGCGCCCGTGAAACCGCGAGAGTCGGCTCTGATACCATTTTGTAACGTCCCGCCTCCCCCAGGCCGGGCCCACATACATCTGATAGCTTTCATAGGTCATAGACTGCCCTCCACCCTCACCCCCTTAAGAGAGATCGACGCCCGTCGATCTACCCTAGGCTAGGAACGTCCTCTCTTGGCCACGTCCATGTGTCCAGTGCCAGCGCATGTGCCATGCTGTGTAACCACTCCCGGTCTACACCAGCCATGCGCACCATGCCTGCGCAACTGCGACACACGCGCCCGTGAAACCGCGAGAGTCGGCTCTGATACCATTTTGTAACGTCCCGCCTCCCCCAGGCCGGGCCCACATACATCTGATAGCTTTCATAGGTCATAGACTGCCCTCATATCTTTTCTGCACACTTTGACCTCACTCATGTGCACCCGGGTTCCCGGTCGGTCACCCATCCCAAATTGCTCCAGGCCAAGCACGCTTAACCCTGGAGTTCTTTGGAGATTGGCTTCCGGAAAAGAAGTTGCAACTTGTTGATATGAGTATTCTATTAATCCTATTAAGCCCTAGGCCGGGATGTTACATATAGCAGGTGTCTACCATGATGCAAAATTTGAAGTTAAAAAGTCGATCTACACAAGGAGAAGCAAAATAAATATATATTTTTTCAAAATACATTACAGACAGAGGCATTCATATAAATTAACATATATATATATATGCACAGATTATCCCTTTAAGTACCTCACAATACCGAGCCGGTATATGTTGAGATTCACGAATTTATCATAGCATCTATGAGCACTTCTGAAGACTAATCCGGTATCTCAGATTCATGAGTCACCATAGTATCGACATCTATCGCTGAAAAAATTCCTTTTCTCCTATGTACCCTTCTTTTTCTTTATGTAAATTCTTCTGTAAATGTTTTTCTCAATAAAATCACCGTAGGAGGCTAGGAGCCTCTCCTGCTGTTTTTCCCTAAAAAATCGCTGAAAAAAATAATTAAACGTAAATACAATTACATGTGCCAAGTCTTGCTAGGACTTGAACCTGGATAGGTAAGTTCCACCACCATGTGAAAAATAACCAATTGAACTACGCAAACTTCATCAAAATAAATAATTTGAGTTATGTTTTTTTTATGTTGAGGTGTGAAAATTGAATTTAGTGTTGCATACATAACAATGTAATCTATGCTATGAAATTTTTTATGACCATTCAGATGACATATAAGAGATAAGTTATTTGTGTTGCATAAACAACAAATGCACTTAAGTACTGGCTGGTTTTAATGTTTGACATTATTGACTTTTGATTGAATATATGTTTTACCATTCATCTTATATAAAATATATGTAATTGTTGTTTATTTTGTTGTGATTTTTTTATAATTAAAGGTATTTTAATCATGTTTTTTTATATTTGCATATTTTTAATAAGACGATTAGTCAAACGTATATCTCAAAGTCAACGACGTCAAACATTAAAAATGGAAGGGAGTATATTTTTAGAATTTAAGCCACTGCTATTTAATAGGAGCATTTTTACTGTTTTTATTGCTTTTAATAATGTTTGCACTGCATTGTTGTTATTTTTGCAAATTTGCATACAACATTGGTACTACCCCCATGTATTTAAACAGACAAAAGGCTACCCTTGGACCCTTGGTCCAAATTCACCGAAACAATTTTAAAGAAGGAAAATCCTTTTTTGCGGAGAAAAGAAGTGATATCTGAATGTTCAGTATTAAAATATGGTTAAATTCGCTAGAAAGAAAACGAACAACCCGCTCTGTTGTAATTCCAACAGCATCTCTACAAATAGCATTCAAGATATATACACGCAAAGTAGTTCTGCAATGTGTGCTGGGGCCCAATTGCTATATGTTGTTATCCTCTGATAATTAGCTGAGTTCGGATGGGGGAGATGGGAGCCTAACTCCTGTGCACGGAAAACGGAGTGGTCCATTAACACGTGATTAATTAAGTATTAGCTAATTTTTTTTTCAAAAATGGATTAATTTGATTTTTTTAAGCAACTTTCGTATAGAAACTTTTTGCAAAAAACACACCGTTTAGTAGTTTGAAAAGCGTGCGCGCGGAAAACGAAGGAGAGGGGATGGGAAAAGGTGCATGCGAACACAGCCAGAATGTTGTTGCAAACTGCAACCAGTCATATGATGATTTATACCAACACTTGATGAAACCAATTTGTGTAGCGTATTGCGTATGCTAGAGTTTATATAACTGAACCTAACACTATTGTCAGTTTGCCTTTTCAGCTCTTCAGTAAAGTCAGTTTGCCTCACATCATACATGCAGAATGGATTGGTTTTGTATAGGTTATTAATTTCTCATTCCAGTTATGAATGCAGCATGTTCTATGGGCATGTTATACAAAGCTCTAACTTCAAAGTTTAACTCCAGGAGTTTAGAACTTGAGTGGAGTTTTGAAGCTTCTAACTCTTTTATTTTATGAGAGCACTTTAGTATATTCCACTTTATTTTTTGGGTGGAGCTGAAAGGTTTGGCTCAGTTTCAACTTCGGGTTTCAACCTCAGAAGAGATGGAGTTGGAGCCGAAGTTCTGTCAAACACATCCTATATACATATTGCACATATATATACTACTGTCAAGTAGTTCCTCCAACCATATCTACGGCACCAATTTTTGCGGTGGTTGCCATATCGATCATGTACATGGAATGACCAAAACAAATTCTTTAGACGACGCTGCATGTTAGCTAGCTCGTTCAGTCGTTCTAGACTTGAAGTTTCCAGTTCAAACAGACTACCAACTAGTGTTGCATGGCTTTCACTTAGCTAGAAAAAGATCGATCCGGCCGTCCCAATCCAATCCTGGCTGCTGATAATTAAATTAAGTAGGCGATAGGCAGATGGATTATGGATACCACATGCAAAATTGTGATACTTGTGAGTGTCGATATGTGACTACTAGCCTGCGAGCAACTATTCAGCTGAACTATAATATCTTCTTCTTACACCCGACTGGATAACCTGAAGTGTGTCACTAGTACAATAACGATTTTTTCGTGTGGTCGAAAGCAGTTTTCGCATATGGATCTTCCACCCGTCTTGAACTAAGTGTCTGTGAAAATCCGATTTTTTTTTTCGGGTGACGCACCCGCACGCGAAAATCGCAATTTTTATATGCGGGCGCTTTAGCAGCCCTGGAACCCCAATCTAGCCGCCGCCGGCCTGCCTGAGGCCCGCCGCCGTCGTCTCAGCGGTTGTCGGTGACGAATCCAGACGCCTGAGGCTGGGATACCACTGCCGCCACTGCCGTCGTCGTCGCCACGGTGGCTGACGACGGATCCGCTCTGTCGCCACCACCCTAGCTGATGCCACCGATGCCGCTGCTGCCATCGATGCCGCCGTCACTCTCACCAATGCCACTGCCACCGTCGCCGGGAGTGGGTAGAGGGGGAGGGGGAGGGGGGAGAGGGAGAGGGAGAGGAAACGGGAGTGGCCGAGCGGGAGGATGGGAGGAGATCGAGTGGCGCCGGGAGCTAAAAGGGTGGGTGGGCTATTTTCGCGTGCGGATCTATTAAGAGGCCCGCTTGCAAAAATTGATTTTTTCCGTGTGGTCATTTTAAAGAGCCGCACGTGAAAATGGAGCACGATTTTTACGGACGCGACCACTTATGGTCCGTCTGTGATCTAAAGTGAGTCTTGTACAGGAAAATCATTTCTGTACTAGTGTGTGCTCCCCGCGTCTCTCCACTCAAGGGGCGACATGTGTTAAATATGTGATCTGAATTTTAGGCCTGCAATATATTCGGATAAGTTTCCTAATATTTTAGGCTTGCAATATATTCAGATTAGTTTCCTAGTATGACTCTTGAGTTTTTTCCCATTAGGACTTCTAGATTTCTCCTATATATAGGAAACGGATCCTCTATTGTAGAGCTAATACTGCATTGGTGCTTGTAGCGATCAAATCAAGCCATCCGATTAGATTAAGCAGCTCTGATTCCGTCCCTATATATATCCCTTGGAAGCTGTATAGGGAGGGTGCGACAGCCCGATGTATCACCTGTGTTTGTATTCAACTCCTCTATAGTGATCATTGTCGGTCGGCACCCATGGTTTTTTCCGGCAAGGGTTTTCCACGTAAAATTCATGTCTCCATTGTGCATCTATTTTCCTAACAACATGGGCGCCACCCAAGCAGACACCGGCCCAGCTAGGTGGATGCAAGGACGGTGGTGGCAAGGCTCTCTCCCCTCGCTCGTAGAGTCGTGGTCAATGAGGCTGAGTCGCTGACGAGACTGGACTCTGGAGCCTGAGGGCAAGATGCCAGTGTCCAGATCCGGTGTCGTGGAGTCCGGACACGATCCCCCCATGGCCGAATCTAGTGCTCCCACGGCGGATCGAGCTAGATCAACGGCGCAACGGCAACAACAACTTGGAGTTGAGGCGGAGCTAGGACATGCAGGGACGGCGGTGGCAAACATGGATCTGGTGAGGGGGATGGCTACATCTGTCGTCCTAGCGACTGGCAGTGATGGCGACAATGATGAGGTGGCGGCGTGCGGCCATGGAGAAGACGATGCATGGAACGGGGTGGAGGAGGGACATGGCTGCCAAGGCGAGCCGAGGTGGTGGAGTGCGGCCATGGAAAAGGTGGTGCATTCCCTAGCCGGCGGCCATGGGAAGCCGGCATGGGTGGCGCCGGGAGGTTGGTGCGGGCGGCGGCAAAGAGGTCGGCCCGGCCGATGGCGCAAAAAAATTGAACATGATGTAGAAAAATCGTCGAAAAAAGTATATCAGTTCATCCATAGAGCATTTAAAATCACTCAACAAAAAATGGTGCAACTAAAACCGAGATATTTTTTCTAAAGCAACATAAATATAATTTCCTGCCAAAAGATAATACATAAATCTAAATAAGATCATATTTTAAGAGAAAATTAAACTTTGTTTCACAATTTAGTATGCAAGTTCTGTTTGTACAATTTGTCACTAGTACTTATTTAAGATTTTTAATTCCGTTATCATTTTTTTAAAATTCAAGTACATAACCCATGCATGAAATTGCATTTCATTTTTCAAAATGTCATTTAACATAAAAAAAATATAGAGAAACTTTCAGTTGCACATTCGTGTATGTTAAACCTAAATAGATTGGGCCTGTTAAAAAAGTCAAGGCTAGTCTGGCACAAAATTTTATTTTATACATATTATAAAACTGTTTTTTTTTCTGTGGACCATTTAAGCTGCGTTCGAACTTATTAGCATATGATTAATTAAGCATTAGTTTTTTTTTGAAAATTAGATTAATATGATTTTTTAAAGTAACTTTCATATAGAAAATTTTTGTAAGAAAACATACCGTTTAGTAGTTTGAAAAACGTGCGTGTGGAAAAAGAGGGAAGTGAGTTGGGAAACTATACTGCCGAACACAGCCTTATTCTGCTTATATCCCACAAAAGTAATCTAGATTGTATATACTATATAGAATAAGTGGTAAATTTGAAGCATTTTTTATTCATTTAGGATTTTTTTTAAAAAAAAGATCAACAGAATTTTCATCCTTAAAACACAATGATATGTCATCAAAAACTAATTTGAATCTGGTGAAAGGATAAAAAGTAAATGGTATGGAAAGTTCAGGGCTGAGCAATATCCAATTTTAAAGTTTATGGATGAAATTTAGACCTTTGTGAAAGCTCAGAAATGTAAAATAGACCTTTTTTTTTAAAAAAAAGCTACAGAGTATATGACTTGTGCATGTTATAACAAACCTATAATTTTCTTCTCACAAAAAAAGATCTATAGATTTGCTATGATCTGGGCATGCCATAACAAAAATGCTATGAATAAGGCATGTTATAACAAAATTCATGAGAAATACTGGCCACAATACAGTCTCAGTGGTGATGGGGAATGCTATGAGGACTAGGTGACAAACATAGACTCTTCCAATGGCCCCAGCCTCCCATCAGAACCTGTGGTTACAGATAGCCAGAAATAATATCCACCAGCTGCTGCTCTTCTCTATGCTCTGAAAGATTAGAACTGGGAGGCTTCTAAGCAGCACCAAGCAGGAACTATGCCTGGCAGCATCCATGTCTCAGGTTTTTTTTTTCTCTGATGATTTTTCCATTCACATGAGTATCTGAAGAAAGCACAGAATGACTTTGTTCAGTATCTTACTTCTCAGCTGCTCAATCATCAGCTGCCACAGCTCCACTGTTCTTGCAAGGTTAGGTCTCCTCAAATCACCATTTTTTTCTCACTTACATTACTACGATTTTGTATATAAACAACACGATGGATGCAGTTGTATTGGGCAAGAGAGAGTACAACGGAAGCATAGGACAAGGCGAATTCTCATTGTGAGTTCTGCATTTCTGCTTATTTTCATCAAGTTGCATTCAAATCCCCCTTGTTTTATGCAAAGAAAATTTTCAGCATGTCTCACACTAATTAACGGAGTATATCTGTATATGTAATATGTGCGTAGCCCAGTTACGTCACTTCGTGAGAGCATGGTGATGCTGCTGTACAATGCAGATAGATCATTAATATCACAAGCAGGTGTTTTTCAGTTAGTTCATTGTTCATTTTTTCTACTTAGCCAGCACAAATATGAACTGCTGCCTGTTTTAACTAATAACCCACAAATCACCACAGAACTGAAGATGAAAGCAGTTGTTGAGTCAGGAACTATGGATGTTGATTTTAGTCTTGACAATGGAGGAAGCATTATTCTAAGGCTGCAGTTCCTACTCAGTGATGAAGATCGCAGACGGGTCCAAGAAATGGTAATGTGGTTCTTTTTAGGGTATTTTCATGTTAGTTCAAACCACAAGTCCTTTTTAATTCATTATTATAATTCCATCTTAATTTGAATTATCTAGCTTGTGTTTATACTGTTTTCCCTTTATTCAGAGGAACTCTGCAGTGAAAAGAAAGCAGCAAGAGCTGCTTTCTGATGGTTATGTACTTTCTCAAGGTAACCTGTCAAACTGTGTTCAAATTATGTCTCATTTTTTTGTTGCAAACACGATTTTAGGGATCTACTGAACAGACTATATGCTTCAGATGTGCCAATGTTAAGCAGTTAATGTCTTAGCTAATAAGAACATAATATTTAATCCACATATATTAGTATTTAAATATATGTGAGATGTTGTATAAGTTCCCAAATATCTGACCTTTGCTGTGTGTAGTGTACAATTCATCAAACTCGTATTTAGGCTGTGTAACTGGAATGCTAATGTCTGAAATTTAATCACTGATAAAATGTACAATTTGTATGGATAACTTTCTTTTCTTATAGGTGATTTTGAAAATTTTCAGACAGCTTGTTGTCTAAACAAGTCGAAAATATCTCCAACATTTCGAGAGAAGGAGATGAATCTTCAGTTAGGAAGAGCATGTCACTGGATGATTTGCAGGAGAAGGCTGTTTTCTCTGCAATTATTGTAGATCCCCAGATGAAAGACACAAAAGAATCACCGGAGCAAAGTGGATCAAATAGTGCAGTGCAGAAAATGATAAGTGCCTTTCAAAGCAGCTCTCCACAGGTATAATACTTGTATCAATAGATCAATAATGCAGGGCAAAACCACTCCTAATATACTCCGTCCGTTCATAAATATTTGACGTTTAGGATATTTTGTTAAATTTTTGAAGCTTTGATCAACAATAGTTTCTCAAATGCTTGGTTTATTTTATTTTTTTAAAAAAAATGATATGCACATTTTTGACTTGAGTACTATCATAGTATCACAAATTCATTAGATTTTATGAACTTATTTTAATACAAAATGGATTGACAAAGTTTCAAAAGTTTGACCAAATCTTATCCTGAACATCAAATAATTATGAATAGAGGAAGTACTAGTACAATTTATCTACATAGTCTTCCATGGTCTTGCAGGATCTGACGCGGATCAAATCAGAAAGCTCACTAAAAGGGCTGTCTGCTTCTTCAGAGAATTTCACCCAGTCTTCTTCAGACAAGTCATCTAGTTCACTAGCAACCCAGGATGTTTCAGGCCACACAGAGGCAGGTCTTGTGGCTGGGACATCAGGCAAAATGCAGCTTCCTCCTGGTGACAAAAGCTTCAGTAACAAAAGATCAAATGCAACCGAGCAACAGGCCGTTCTGTCAACCACATCTGAAGGCAGAATCCGTAGGCTATTCAGAGAGAAGGACCTCGATAATTCAGAGATGGTGATCACAGTCCAAAACCGGAGCAAGAAGCGGTCGATGCCGAAGCGTCGTCGCGCCGCCATTGGCCCTTACTCTCTTGAACACATGCATCCCCATGTCTGCATCACCACTGCAAGCAGGCAGCTGAGAGAGCTTGTTGAGCTTGAGCCACCCTTGGATTCGTTTGTGTTTGTAGGACAAGTTGATATCAAGAGACCAAATGTGAGGGGAGGAGCTAGCATGCAAGATCAGGTATGATTATGAGAGAAATTTTATGAATCTAGAGAAAGTATCTGTTGGTACTAAAATTTTAATGTTATGAGTCTACAGAAAGTATCTGTCGGTACTAAAATTTTAACTAAAAAATTTGATGCCTCGAGACACTAGTATCTGGAGATATCAAGTTTTACATTAGAAAATATAGTACCTCTCGATGTCTTCTCCAAAATGATAAAATTATCCTTAAACTGATAGTTTCAGCTTAGCCTGCTGATCCCTGAACTTATGCACTCCCATGCCAAACTTGTGAAATGTGAAGCAGGGCACAAGCGACAGTAAAACGAAAAATGAGATGGTTTCTGCTCGAGGTGATGATCATGGTTTTCCAATATTGGATGGGCGGTTGATTAATCAGGCAAGTCAGTTGTCGATGTGTGCTGACATTTTCTCCTCTTTTTCTTTCCCCTCTCTGACTATCTGAATTTATGTTGTGCAGGGAGTGCGTGTTGTCATTGTGATCATAGCTTGCGGAGCAATATTTCTGAACAACAGATAAGGGTAGCAGGACATGTACATTTAGATTGTGTGTGTGTGTTTTTCTTTTTCAAGTTTCAGTAAGTAATGCAACTGCTATACACCTCCATCCCTAAAAAAATTAACTTCCGAGAATGAATCTAAACAACAAAGTGAACAAACGTGTGTCCGAGTTTATCTTAGAAGTTGCCTTTTTTTTTTTAAGGACAGATGAGTAATTCTTGTGCTTGCGGTGGTGTGCCGTATGCATTGCAGCAGTTGCGTTTTATCAGGTTTGGTGTTTTTTTTTTTTATCTCAAACCGTGCTCTTTATTGATATGTTGGTTCAGTGTAATCACGAACCACCAAAGACCTTACAAAACACGGGAGGGGGTCAGTCCAAATGGACATCTGACCCGGGTCCCAATTAGCCCCTCGACGAGCCAGTTCATGAGCACAACTATTACAAGATCGATAGGCGAAAGACACATCAACCTTTACAAAGTACACCAAAGACATCAATCTGATTTGCTTGAAGATGACACCAGCCGTAGCTTGATCATAATCAGCTGATTTGAGAGCTTGCACTAGGACAGAGCAATCAGTTTCTACTGAGACATGAGAAATTCCGTTGTTTGCTGCGGCGCGCAGAGCATAAAGACATGCCGTAGCCTCTGCACACAAAGCATCATGCACCAGCTCAATTCTCCCAGCTCCAGCTAGTGGTCCCGTACTACAAATCCCCATCCACCGGTCTTGCCTTCATCAAAGAAAGCCCCATCAAAATTCAGCTTCAGTTCGCCCAGGATAGGGGGATGCCATTTCCTCTGCGCTTGAACGTTTGGTCGAGATTTGGCCGGGCTCAACAGGGAAGTTTCAGAAACCATCCTCATGACTCTGTCATACACTTGCTCAGCTGATCTGCGATCTTCCCCAGCGTTTACTTTATTCCTTGCATCCCACCAGTTCCAAAGAAACAGCACAGTGGTCAGCATTTTATCCTCCTTCATATTCAGAATATGTTTGCACACATCCAAAGCAGAACTGTACTGCATCAGCTCTAACCTGATATGCTTCAAATTCATCACTCTCCAGCCAGCTTTAACATATTTGCATTTGAAGAAGCAGTGGCCACCATCCTCATTCAGACGATGGCAGACAGGGCATCGTGTGTCAATCTCCATGCCTCTTCTGTCAATGTTCATGCGCAGTGGCAGGGTATTGTGGGCAAAACGCCAGAGGAAGTGCTTCACCTTCGGGAAATAATGTAGACGCCATAGCTTCCCCCAATCCAGGCTCGCCGTGCGAGCAACACCCGACGAGGATTCTCCCGTTTGTCGAGACGCTAGATGCTCTCGCTGATCCTCTAGAGTATGATATGCCGATTTAACCGTGAAGATACCTGCCATGCTGCAAAATCTTCTGACCCCATATTCAGCGGTATAGCTAGGATATTCCTCACATCCTCCTCCCAGAAAATATCCTGGATCAATTCTTTGTCCCATTCTCCAAGTCTGCTACCCGGTTCAGTATTGTGCCTCCTCTTGGAGTAATTGGCCGTCGGGTTATACCTGATGGAATCCAAGGATCCTTCCATATATCAATTTCAGAACCATCGCCAACCCGCCATATCAGACCAGACTTCAGCGCCTGTACACCACGCACGATACTCCTCCATGAATAGGAAATACCTGGGCCTTCCTTCACCTCCAAATCTGGAAAATACTTAGCTTTTAAAACTCTTGCACATAGAGAGTCTGGGTTGGACAGAAGCCGCCAAGCCTGGCGAGATTAAACGGATGCAGGTCTCTGTAACCCAGCCCCCCCTTCTCCTTCCGACTGCACAACCTATCCCAGGCTATCCAGTGCATCTTATTTTCCCGATCGTGTTGCGCCCAAAAGAAGCGGCAAATGAGACTGCTAATTTCATCACACAAAGTTTTTGTCAGATCGAAACAAGACATCGCGAAGGAGGGAATCGCCTGTGCAACCGCCTTGATTAAAATGTCCTTCCCAGCCCGTGACAAAAGTTTTTCCTTCCAACCTTGAATTTTCCTCCACACCCTCTCCTTCAGATAACTGAAGGTTTTTGATTTTGATCTCCCCATATACACCGGCAAACCTAGATACTTTTCATTCCATGCTTCAACTCCAATATCCAGTGCCCCTCTGAACTTCTCCCTGTCATTTTCCTTGGTGTTCATGCTGAACATTACTGAAGATTTCTCTTTATTAATGGTTTGCCCCGAGCATCGTTCATACAAGGAAAGAACATTCTGCAGACACTCAGCACTCCGTTCATCTGCCTTTAGGAGTAACAACGAGTCATCCGCAAACAGTAAATGCTTGTTGACAAACCTTCACCCCGGATAGATCACCCCTTTCTTCTGCCGCATTCAGCAGGGACGAGAACACCTCTGCACATAGCAGGAATAAATATGGCGAGATGGGATCCCCTTGACGCAGGCCTCTTATAGGAATGATCTGCTCAGTATAGGTTTGGTGTTTTTTTTGTCAGGAATAAAGGACAGGGACTTAGATTGCCTGCATCGTTGATGTTTTGTAGTTTCTCATGTCTGTCATACTACTACTACTAGTACACTCTTTTTGTTATATAGAGAGGTCAATCGCACAAATATATATGTACATGTCTGATTGTTTAGGTGATGTTTGGATCCATGGACTTAACTTTAATCTCTGTATTTAGACACTAATTTAGAGTATTAAATATAGACTATTTACAAAACTAATTACATAAATGAAAGCTAATTTGCGAGACAAATTTTTTAAGCCTAACTAATTTATAATTAGAGAATGTTTACTGTAGCACCACATAGACTAATTATGGATTAATTAGGCTCAATAGATTCGTCTCGCGAATTAGTCCAAGATTACGGATGGGTTTTATTAATAGTCTACGTTTAATATTTATAATTAGTGTCCAAACATCCGATGTGATAGGGACTTAAAAGTTTTAATCCTATCTAAACAGGGTCTTAAACAACTGAACCTGAACACATCTGAACCTGAACACATGGCAACTACGACAAATATCCCGCTTTGCAACAAAAGCATACGAATAGCGCAACAATTAAAGAACGGAATTTACTAGATTTCACGCGTCTCAAAATTTCTAAGTTTTCATCTACATAAAATTGCACATAGCTTAAATTAAAATCGCAGTGATATGTAATGTACAACTTTAGATCATTACTCGTTGTATGTAGTTTGAATACTTTTTCATTTATTTCATAGATACTAGCAGAGGGCCCATGCGTTGCAACGGGATTTGAGAAAAAAAATATAGTAACGGTTTCACCTCGTGATCAAGTATATTTGATAGGTACAATGGTATCATCTTAAGGATGTCCGACCGTGTTACAGCGTGGGCACAGCTAACAGCTAACAGGCGCACACTAAAATTCATCATATAGCCTGAATCATCTATCGTGTGTGAGGCTTTCATCGTTGCTTCGGTAGTACACTGGAGCCAGACAATAGCGTCGTACGTATATTATTTTTGATTGGAAACTCATCTTCTAAAGTAACAACTCGTATGTATGTATATTGTGCTGGTACTCATGGTGATGGTGGTCAGTCCTAGATGAAACCAAAAATTAGATGATTAGCAGAAACACTACCAGAAAAACCATTTTCCCACCAGAAAAACCATTTTCCCAGATGATGACATTTTTTTCTAAGTAGGTAGGCCTCTCGGAGCTAAATGGCCACCTGCAAAAATAACAACCGTGGGCGATATCGTTGTCCGCATGCAAAAATACCTCTTAAGAGATCCACCTGCAAAATAGCTTAGGCATCATAAAAATCGTCGCAACAGTCAAAAAAAAAAAAAACTAAGTCCTCTCCCTCACCTCCCACCTCTCCCTCAACTCCTCCCTCTCTCCCCTGCGTCCCGTACCTCCCACGTCCCTCTCTCCCCCCACCTCTCTCTCTCTATCGGCGGTAGCGGCTACCACAAGTGGCGGTGGCGGCTCCACCCGGACGCGACTCTCGTCCCCTCCCTCCCAGATCTGGCCGAAGCGGGGAGGCGGGAGGGCAGCGGCGGCAGCAGATCCGGCCGGAGGGAGGGGGAGGGCGGTGGCGACGGCGGCTCCAAGCGACTACCCGTGCAGCTCCCCTCCCCTCCTCCTAGATCTGGCGGAGGGAGGTGGCGACTGCTGCTCCTAGCGGTGGCGGCGGCGGCTTCCCCTCCCCTCCCTCCCTCCCGGTAGTGTTGGTGGCAGTTAACCTCCCTCCCTCCGCTCCCAGATCTGGCCAGAGGGGGAGCGGCGGCGGCGCCCCTGCAACAGCCTCCCCTCACCTCCTCCCCCTCTCCCTAACCCTAGATCCAGCCGGAGTTGGGAGGGCTGCAACGGCGGCGTGGCCGGAGGTGGGTAGGGTGGGGGTGGGGGTGGCGATTTTTTTTGTTCGCCCAACACATTTTCGCAGGCGGGGTGGTTATGGCGCCTGCGAAGATTGTGATGCCGCCCAGGCGGGCCATTGGGCTGCCTGCGAATATTTTCGCAGACTTATGCGTACATGTGGACCTTCCCCCGCCAGGGAAAATGCTTTTTGGCCCCATGGAAAAACACATTTTCTAGTAGTGAAACGTAATTTAATCGAACTCTTCGATAGTATTGCCAATGTATATAATTATTGCATGGACAACGATGCTCGACGGAGACACATACGTGGATAAAGCGGAGCCACGGATGGACTCGCGACATACCAATCGGACTAAACGGAAACAACTTCAATCGTGCTGTTGCTAGTCAAAATTTGGAAAATCCAATTATATACCAATGTATACCAACGCAAAAACCAATTCAAACACGGACAATGTACCAAAGTAGTGGTAGAAACATCTTCAATTTCTATAATATAGAAAAATGCCCGTGCGTTGCAATGGGTGAATGTTATTTTAATCTTATTATTGTTATACGGTTTTAGCTAGGATAAAATTTACGGTGGGAATTCGCTTAGATTTTTTTTTATAAAATCATGAGCTGCAATTAGGAATCTGACTTCCATATCAAGTTAGCATGCATGTTTTTTTAAAAAATTTCTTATCTGACTTCTTTTGTATTTTCAAAAGCAAACGAACTTAAAATCTGACTCGTACACTGATCTGTATTTTCAAAAGCGGAGGAACTTAAAAACCAACTCAAATACAAATGACGTATCAAAATACCAGCAAAAACATCTTCAATTTTTATAATAGTAGAGATTTCAATCGGGTGTAGTGTAACAATTAATGGCACAATGTGGGATGACACGAGATGATGAGAGTCGAGTAGCAGACGA